AAAGCAATTTTAATCTGTTTTTGACATCTGAATACACGTGGCAAATACCTTTGGGAAGGGAGTTGTACTGCAGGGGCACCAATTCTGAACACACCCTCTTTCTAGTAATACTTGAACCCTACTAGAATTCTTTCTAGTAACCTTTAGAGGATCTTGGCCAGATCTCTCTCTCTGCACCAAGCTTGTGCACCAACCAATACTAGTAAGTAATACTTCATGAAAGGACAGCATCTTGCATGGCCATAAATAAAGCTGGATCTAGTAGCAGGCTCGAGCTGCAAACCGGATAGTTAAGGTACAGTAAAATCTCACTAAGCACTGGAAAATCCACACAGAGCAACTGGGACTGAGAGTCAGTTTTGCAAGTCCAAATTCAGACCAAGCCTAATTCCAAGCACCTGTTAAATTCATCTAGAGCAGGGGTGGGCAAACTTGCTTAATGCAAGAGCCACATAGAATAAACGTCAGGTGTTTGAGAGCCGCAAGACATGAACAAATATTACAGACATGTTTTTATTGAAAAATATGCGAATTTGCTTTTTATTAACATTAAATGAGACTGCCAAAAATAAAAACAAAAGGGGTAAAAATAGATATTGATAATATTTATCCAACTATATTTGTAGGTGGGGGGGCAGCTTTGAGAATGCATTTAAAAGTAAAGTTGCTTTCTTTCTCTGCTCCCCCCGCCTCAAGCCTACCCAGGAAGGGGAACTCGCTGGAGAAGGGAAGACGGATCGGGGAGGGGAGTCATGCCTCCCCTTTGCTTGCCCAGCTGCCCTGCTAGGAGCCACACAATATGTGTGAAAGAGCCGCATGTGGCTCCCAAGCCAGAGTTTGGCCACCCCTGATCTAGAGCAAAACCTGGATCGAATGAAAAGAGGAAATAAAGTGGCATCTTCGTATTAATTATGACACCAGGATTCTGGGGATGACTTCTCCCAAGTGTCTCAAAGTAGATGGTAAATATGCCACGGGGGACAGGATAGATACCTGTGGAACCAAGTAAACATTCCCTTAGTATCATCTTCTGGAATCTGTTCAGTGCATAAGAGAGGAAGTGCCAGTGCTTTCAACTCTCATTACAGACAGGAGATCCCGAAGGGTAATACAGATAATGGTTTCAAAAGTAGCTGAAAGGTCTGAAAGAATCAACAAAGACAGGTAAAGGTAAAGGTTTCCCTTGCTCAAAAGCCAGTCGAATCCGACTCTAGGGATGTGGTGCTCATCTCCGTTCCCAAGCCGAAGAGCCAGCGCTGTCCAAAGACGTTTCCGTGGTCATGTGGCCGGCATGACTAAACGCCAAGGCGCATGGAACGCTGTTACCTTCCCACCGAAGCGGTACCTATTTATCTACTTGCAATTTCTTCTTTCGAACTGCTAGGTTGGCAGGAGCTGGAACCAGAGATGGGAGCTCACTCCGTCATGCGGCAACTCGGGTCTCGAACTGCTGAACTAACGACCTTCCACAGCCTGCAGTTCAGCATCTTAACCACTTGAGCCACCGCAGCTCAACAAAGCTCAACAAGATACATGCCCCTTTTTCTCCCAATGGAGATTATTTGTTGCGGAAGCCAAATCCGTTTCAACCCCCCTCCCTGAAACAACCCAGACTGAAATGGGTCCAGGCAATAGGAATGTCTGGAATTCAGCCACCACCATCTACCAGTCTACCATCCCACCAATTAAAGAAGCTCGTTTGGTGGGTACACAAGAAACGGCAATTAAAGAAGCTCGTTTGGTGGGTACACGCCCTTTTCCATGGCAGACCCAGAATGATGGAACAGCCTCCCCAGGAGGGTATGCCTGCCCCCCTCATGGATCTTCAAGGAGGGGCAGCTGAAGACAGTTTTATTTAGGACTGCATTTTGATTGAATCAGCTGTTACTATTGGCAGTCCCATTTGGAGTTTTTAAACTGTGACTTTTATGGGCTTTATAATTGTTGTTTTTATTGTCTTTTTATGATGTTTTATTTATATCATCAACTGCCTTGAATTCCTCAAGCGAGAAAGGCAGCAAATCAATGTTCTAGGTAAGTGAATAAATACTTGAGCACTTTGCCCCAAAAGGGAAGACGGTACTTGACTGAGAGCTAATACTTCAAAGTCCATTAGCCTTAAGAGCAGCCTCATAGCTGCCTCCTTCAAAGCAGCTAATACTGCTCACTGCTTCAATTATATATTCAGCAATCCCAGAACCATTTCTAGACATTCACCCGCAGCAAGATGTTATCGGACTAGGTAGGAAAAAAAGTAGAAAATGGGAAGCGGTTTCAGCTTCAGAATTAAAGATGAAATAGGCAAAGAGCCAACTGAAATACAAATCTGCAATTCTGACTTACAAGCATGAAATGAAAATTAATCAGCAGCTTATAAGACAACACTCAAAAGCTGACCACCACAACATCTGAACTCCTATATTAAGGGTTCCAAACTCAAAGCTCAGATTTCACAGCAACGAAAATAATTTGTAATGACTTAAGTTCAGAATCAGTACGTTAATATTAAAATTCAGTACACTCTTGTTTCATTTAGCTGCTATTAATTTATTACATTATCCAAATGATTTGGAATCTTGGTCTAGACTAGTAAAAAAAGTCCAGTGGCATTTTAAACACTGATAGATATATGGTTATCTAAGAAAGCTCACATGCCATATGTTAATTTTAAGGTGGAACATATGCAAGAAACAAAGGTGGCTACCATTCTGGAATCTGTCACCCTAAATGGAAATAAGACATTTAAAAAATCTGATTTTGTGGCCTGTCATCAACTCCTGAGAATAACCTCTTCACCTTTCAATACCAGTTCATACTTTCGGCATGGCTGCCTACTGCCATTCGCGTACCAAAGGTCTTCACCAATCTAGAGACATCAAAAAATTCCCATACGATTACTCTTTCAAACATGAGCAAGCAATGTTGAATAAAGGAACTATCGTTCTCTCTTACCGGTAAGTCCACACTGACATCAGTCCCATCCAGTAAAGAGACACGACATGTAATTATGGATTTTGCATCTCCAGCAGCAGGGATATGAGTGGCAGCTCGCTGAGCCTCTCTTAACCGCTCCTTCTCAGCATGTTTCCGCATAGACCGGCGGCCCAGTGTTCGGCGAAAGAAACTCAGCATCATTACTAAATAGGTCAAGAAAAGAAGTTTTAAGCTGAAGAAGAAAAAGACAAGTGTCCTACAACCAAAATGTTTCAAAACAGCCAAGGTCTTTACACATTCCACTAAGTTTCTTGATGTTCCTGCACCACAAGAAAGAAAGAAAAAGCTTGCAAAGTCGCATATTCACAAATCACAAGTCTCCTTAAATTGCCACATCCCCTACTACCAATGTATGTAGGTTAACAGCTATCAGAAGTACTTGTTCTACGAGACATATGGAAGAAGCAACTCGTACCAAGAAGACTCAGTGGATTCAGGGCTGAATTACCGTAAACGTTGCTCTCATGGTATGGATACCCAGATCCTTCTAAAAAGAAAACTTACAGTACTAGGTAGTTGATTTTTTATTTTTTAAAAAATCTTTCAACCATAAAGAATCTTTCAACATCTTTTAACCGTAAGGTCTCACAATGATGGCACTGCTTGTACCGATGTTGGGGTAAAAGTATATTTGGAAAGGGAACATTCGTAACAGTGCTCCCTTAAGAATGTTTAAAAAATTGGCAGGTAATTTATTGTCAGCCTTGCTATATCCAAGTTTTTTTGCGGCATTAAACAGGAAGTTGTTCACAATAATGGTAGATAGTTTGTGGGCTCCAGTATTCTTTAAACCCACAGCTTTAGGGTGCAACAGTTGCTCGGTGAAAGGAGGAAAACCACAGGGAGAATTGCATTTTTATGCCGAGTGAAGACAAAAAGTATTTTTTGGCCACTCTACAGCACCGATTTTGGCATATATTGCTTTATGAATACGATGGGGTTCACCTAGGACCCGACCAGATAGTGCAGTGTTCATGATCACCCCACTCATTCACATTGCTATTTTCAGACTCAAGAAATTGGACATGCATATTAAACTTTGTTTTTACTATGAAGCAAATCCAAGTCTGCAGAAGGCAGTTTCTGAAGGCAGTGAAAAACTAACCCACCCACAGATGTTACATTAAGAGTGCTCGAGAGTCTGCACCTTGCATGACTCATAGCTGAATCCAAACAATCTGGGTCTCTGACATAGTTTCATTAGGCAGATGTCTTTTCTTATCAACTGGAGGGTATCAGGGACTAAACTAGGAATTTTTCCATGCAAACCATTTGTTCTACCACTACACCTTTCCATACAGAATAGTTGGACAGCATGACTTTATTCAAAGGAGACCCAAAAATGCACTGTCACTGTTTAGACCCATAGGTAGATTCCAAAATAACTCCACCCAGGTATTAGACACCTCTAGAACATCATCGTGTACACCACAGTCCAGATTCGTAAGCACCTGGTTCCCATACTTACAATTCATGGCAGAAAACAATCTCCTGCCACAAAATCCAAACTTTGCATCATATTCACCTGCCTTACAGTCATGCAAGTCACAGCCTAATGCTGCCTGCTGTGACTAGCAATAGGTCTTCAAGGTTTTAGGCAGATGTCTTTTCTTTATCAACTGGAGGTTATCAGGGACTAAACTAGGAATTTTTCCATGCAAACCATTTGTTCTACCACTACACCTTCCCATACAGAATAGTTGGACAGCATTGCTTTATTCAAAGGAGACCTAACAATGCAGTGTCATTGTTCAGACCCATAGGTAGAGTCCAAAATAACTCCACCCAGGTATTAGAAACCTCTAGAGCATCATCGTGTACACCACAATCCAGATTCGTAAACACCTGGTTCCCATACTTACAATTCATGGCAGAAAACAATCTCCTGCCACAAAATCCAAACTTTGCATCGTGGTTTCACCTTTAACTAAGCTATACTCCTGAATCGTTTTTATTAGTAGTAGTAGGTTATTAAATTTTTCACAAAGTATAATCAAGTAACCTTATGATTTGACATTCAATACATAACATCGAACATAAACTTATCAAGTAGAGGTGTAGAACATGTACAAAGATTCAACATCTGCGAAATATGTGCAATAGAAAACAGAGTAACCAAACATCAATCTTGTGAGTATGTAATAACTTGGTGTTTCAGAGTTCCGTGTTTCTTTGAGAGATATCCTAGCTAAAACTTGTGGGTGGCCAGGCTAATCTTTGTTATACTCATAATGTGTAGGTGAAACCTATAGAGAAGCTCAGTATTTACAACCATTCATGATTCTGAGACCAACATGTGGGAACAAATTCTTCTCTAGCGAGGAAGTCCAGAATGGGTTTCCACTTTTCCATGTATTTAGTAGAAATCGGCCTAAGAGAGGCATTGTTCAGTTTGCAGGTGACACACTCCATCAAGAATTGATCCCATAACTTCTTGTACCAGATCAGTGTTCCGGGCGGCTTTGTGTCCTTCCAACATGTAGCAATGGAGG